CAAAAATTGCAACTCCTAATGGAACTGGGACGGAACCTGGAACTGTTCAGGTCAGCCACTCTCATGGCTGGGCCCCTGTGAACCATGTGCATGCTCACAGCCCACGCTGTTCCACTCACAGTCCCCAGCACGCTGCATCATATCCTGCACGTGCAGGCCGGATCGCACACAGCGTCCCAGCCTGCACGTACTAGCAGCTGGCTGCTGAGTGCAGGCAGTGGTGATGGCTAGGGCTCTGGGTACAGTGGCAGCGCCAGTAGTGGCTCCGGCTCCAGGACCTAGTCATAAGGTTAGTGGGGGAGGGGAATTGGGTTAGAATAGAGGGAGATGCCTGCTTTGGAGAAGGGGAGAGGAGGGGAATCGGGCGTGTGGGGGGTTGCACGTGGCATCCCAGATGTGCGTGGTGGTAGTGGCGGTGGCAGAGGCTCTGGCTCCGGGATCTGAGCATAAGGTTGGGGAGAGGTGGGTTGGGTTAGAATGGTGAGAGGAGGTGTCTGGCTCTGGGGAAGGGGAGGGGAATTGGGTTGGGGTGTGGGGTGTGTAAGGCGTGCCAACCGCTCAGTGCATGTGCCCCAGCGCCTGGAGGGAAATGCACGGCTATAGTGGCAACTCCAGCATTAATGGCTATTAGCTAGGATGGGTAGGAATGGTGTCCCTTGTCTCTGAGGCTGGAAATGGATGAAGGAGAAGGATCATGTGATGATTACCTTTTCTGTTCACTTCCTTCTGGGGCAGTGGTCACCAACCAGTAGATTGGGATCTACCAGTAGATCTTGGAGCCTCTGACAGGTGATCCTGACTGGTTTGGCCAGGAAGCTATCAAGCACTGGCATCTCAGTTGTCCCTCCACCCACTGTCATGCTGCTCCTGTCCTCTGCCTTGGAGCTTCCCCCTGGGAGCCTCCTGCTTGCTGTGCAGGGTGTGGGAGGGAGAAGGGGGGGTGCTGATGTCAGGGGGTCCCTCCTCTCCCCACTCCTGTTCTCCATCTCTACACAGAGAAAAGGTATGGAGGGTGCTTGGAAATGCAAATACTGTCACTCTCGCACACTGTGTGTGTCTCTTGTTCTCACAAACACACCCCGTCCTTCATTCTCATCTCCCAACCCAACACATTTTGGGGTTGTTGCTTTTGGTTTTTGACTGGTTTGTGCATTTCATAATTTTCATTTCTTTCTTATGCTAAATTAATTCTTTGAGCAGTGAGTTCTAAAATGCCTAACCTGTCATGTCTGGAGTAATTATTCCCTGGTAATTGCTGCTACTGGAAGTGGCTGGCATGTCCCTACAGCCCCTGAGAAAGGCAGAACAGGGGGTCTCCATATACTGTCTTTGCTTGCAGACACCACTCCTGCAGCCCCATTGATTAGTGATGGGGAACCGTAGCCAACAAAAGCTGTGGGTTCAGTGCCTGTAGATGAAGGGCAGTACATGGCACCATGGAGCCATTGCTGTACATGCCAGCTGCTTTCAGGAGTGGTGCAGGGCCAGGGTAGGAGTAAGCCTGCCTCAGCTCCACTGCTCTACCAGCCGGAAGCTGTCTCAGTTAAGTGGTGCCTCACCAGAGCCTGCTTCCTGACTTCCTGTCCCAGTCTTGAACCCCCTCCTGCCCCAGATATAAGTCACCCTGCACCCAAACTCTTCCTAGAGCTTGCACCCTGAACTCCCTCCTGGACCTCAATGCCCTGCCCAGAACTAAGCCTGGAGCCCCTCCCGCACTCCAAACCCCTTGCCCTAAGACCAGACCCTGCACCCCAGCCCCCATACCCAGCCTGGTAAAAGTGAGTGAAGATGGGGAGGAAGGGGGATGGAGTGAGCAGCGTGAGGCCTCAGAGAAGAGTGCAGTAGGGGCAGGACCTCAGAAGGGGTAGGAAGGAAGCTGGGCAAGGATATTTGGGTTTGAGGTAGCTCTTATATTGCACGACCAGACTTCAAAGAGAAACTGCTGAGCTACAGTTCATCTTCAAGTTCGATACAATCAACTCAGGATTAAACAAAGACTGTGAATGGCTTGCTAACTACAAAAGCTGCTTCTCCTCTCTTGCTATTCACACCTCCAGATCAGCTACTAGAAGTGGGCCTCATCCTCTCTGATTGGATCCACCTTGTCATCTCTAGCCTGATTCTTGCCTGCATATTTATACCTGCCTCTGGAAATTTCCACTACATGCATCTGACAAAGTGGGTCTTTGCCCACGAAAGCTTATGCTCCAACACTTTGGTTAGCCTATAAGGTGCCACAGGACTCCTTGCTGCTCCTCCTGATGAATACTAAGATGCCATTAGTCTTCTTGGCTACAAGGGAACACTATTGACTCATATCTAGCTTCTCATCCACTTTAATCCCGAGGTCTTTTTCTGCTGCTTAGGCACTAGCCCAACGGTGGCCAAGCTGCGGCTCATGAGCCGCATGTGGCTCACGAAGACAAAAATTGCAACTCCTAATGGAACTGGGACGGAACCTGGAACTGTTCAGGTCAGCCACTCTCATGGCTGGGCCCCTGTGAACCATGTGCATGCTCACAGCCCACGCTGTTCCACTCACAGTCCCCAGCACGCTGCATCATATCCTGCACGTGCAGGCCGGATCGCACACAGCGTCCCAGCCTGCACGTACTAGCAGCTGGCTGCTGAGTGCAGGCAGTGGTGATGGCTAGGGCTCTGGGTACAGTGGCAGCGCCAGTAGTGGCTCCGGCTCCAGGACCTAGTCATAAGGTTAGTGGGGGAGGGGAATTGGGTTAGAATAGAGGGAGATGCCTGCTTTGGAGAAGGGGAGAGGAGGGGAATCGGGCGTGTGGGGGGTTGCACGTGGCATCCCAGATGTGCGTGGTGGTAGTGGCGGTGGCAGAGGCTCTGGCTCCGGGATCTGAGCATAAGGTTGGGGAGAGGTGGGTTGGGTTAGAATGGTGAGAGGAGGTGTCTGGCTCTGGGGAAGGGGAGGGGAATTGGGTTGGGGTGTGGGGTGTGTAAGGCGTGCCAACCGCTCAGTGCATGTGCCCCAGCGCCTGGAGGGAAATGCACGGCTATAGTGGCAACTCCAGGACCCGAGAATTAGGTTAGAGCGGGGGGGCAGGGGATTTGGTTAGAGGGGAGGCAGTGCCTGACTCTGGGGAAGAGGAGGGGGAGGGGGAATCGGGTGAGGGGGGTGTCTGGCTCTGGGGAAGGCGAGGAGGATTGGGTTGGGGGGGAGTGGCTCTGGGGCAGGGGAGCAGGATTTGGTTGGGGGGTGTGTGCCTGGCTATGGGGAGGGGTATTGGGTTAGAGCGGGGGGGTGCCTGGCTGTGGGGAATGGGAGGGGGATTGGGTTAGAGCAGGGGAGTGCCTAGGTGAGGAGAGGGGAAGAGCAGCCAGCATACTTCCTGAGATCTGGGATCCCCAGATACTAGCCCCAGCTGTCTCTGTCCCCTCTCCCTGGCCAGACCTCCCTTCTCCCCCCTCAACACCCCCCGGTACCCTTGTCCCCTTCCCCCACCAGCACAGTTGGGGCCACATTAGTGAAGCTTGAGGGGTTTTGGAGCGGTTGTTTTTTTTGCATCTCACTTATGTGGCCCCAACTGATTTTTCTGTGGGTCTAGTGACCCCTGACTCAAAACAGGTTCCCCGCCCCTCTCATAAATAAAGACAACGCTGAAACATTTTGTGTTTGACATATTTTATTTAAAAATGAAGCCTGGATAACAAGCCCCCAATTGGGGCCAAGCCCCCATCTGGCTGCAGCATCATAATACTCCTGCAACCCTCCCAAACCTGAGCCTGTCATACACTGGAACCCCCTGTCCTGAGCCTCTCACATCCCCGAACTCCTGCACCTCCACGTCCCCAGTCTACAACACTCCTGCACCATTCACACACAGCCCATCATACTCCCAGCCTCCCTGCCCTGAGCCCCTCAGGCATCCCAGCCCAAACTCCTGCACCCTCACAGCCACAAGCCTGCAACTTGCTCAGCACCCCAACCCTCAACCTGACCCCAACACTCTCCAGCCTGGAGCCCCCTCCCTGAGCCAGCATCCTCTTCTCTACTTCCTCCTGCACACAGATTTCTTCCCAGTGCTTTTTTGTGATGGTATGCCCAGGGACGGTGTACCGGCACCTATTTTCCCCCGGCGCTGTGTGGTTGGTGTGTATGGGGGTGGTGGGTGGGTGTTTTTTGTGGGGTGTGTGGTTTTTTGGCTCAACAACTTCCCTCCCTCCACTCCCCGGGCACGTGGCTCTTTGACTCTATCCACTGTTATTTTGGCTTTTCATCTGTAATGGGTTGGCCAGCCCTGCACTAGCCACTCGGTCTCCAGCCTGTAGCAGTGCTTGGGATTCTTCTGTCCCAAGTGTAGGACTTTGCACTTGTCCTTTATTTTGGGGTTGTACTGATTATGGTGCTCATCCTGGGGAAGAATTTAAGTGCATGAAGATTTAGTGTATTTATGTTTCAGAGTATTTGTAAATTACCTCTATTTCTCTTGCATATCTATGAACAACTGAAAGATAACAAAAAGGTTATACTTAAACTTATTAAAAATTCCAACCTGTAAAAACTTTAGAGAGAATCCTAGATCTTATTCAGCAAGTTTTCAGAAGTGTGCTCTTGCAAGCATGTACCATCCCTGACAAGTCTGGATTTATGTACACCGGCGCGTGCCAAAACATGCATTTTAAAATCTGAGTTTCAGCTTGGTTAATATTGCTAATTCCTCTGATCCTGAACAAACAGAAAAGGATTGAATATCAATTACTGATCGGCAGGGTTCCTGTAAATGGTGTGCTTGTTGGTCATTTGAGAGACAGTTATACGCAACCCAGCTTATTAGCAGAGCACCCACAGCTAGGTTCTTTGCTTCTGCACATTTGCACATGCCTCTCTGCACACAATTATTCTGCACATTGATAGGAAAAAATCCACATGTGTGGAAAAGATTAGCAGGAACATTACTGATCATGAATGTTATTTAAGAAATCTAATATCTGAAATTTAGCAGATACTAATAAAATGTTTGTATTTTCTGCAGGGCTCTCACTTTTGTGTATCCATTTGGTGCCACACTGAATGTGATGAAACCAGCAGTGGCTGTTCTGTCCACAGGATCTGTCTGCTTTCCCCTCAACAGACCCATTCTGGCTTTTTACCATTATAAGGTACAGCTGCATGAAATAAGCTATCTACCCCTGGTTTTAAAAAAGGGAGTATGCTGTTATGGCAGATCTATATACATCTGTTTTTATTCACAATACACCTACAAACTCTTGAACCAGCTTGACAGTTCTTGATTCTTTTTTGTGGAAAGATCTGTTGCATAGAATTCAGAGAAAAAATGTATCGTCACCAAAGTTTATGTACGTTTTCAGGTTTTTTTTTTAATTTCCAGTTTCTCAGTTTCCACCATTTATTAACCATCTAGGAAGAGAGATTACCAGTTCAGCTGCATATGTAGGTAATTGTGAGTTAAGGACTATCACCCTCTTGGAGCTGAAAAGATTCATGATCTTAGCCATTGGCTCTAGGTTTGAAACTTGCTAGTTTGCAAATATTTCTCCATCATAACTATAAAGTGATGATTACATTTAATGGTCAGTATGTTAAAATGAATTTTTATATAGGTTGAACCTCTCTGGATTGGCAACATCAGTGGTCCAACATGAGTTAAGTTAGCTGTATGTCTGCTTATCATGGATGTGGCCAAATTTCCTGTGGTCCTATAAAGTTTTACAGCCACCAGTTCTGGCTGTTCTGTGTCATTTAGTTCTGCATTACCCCTACATATCTTTTGAGAGCTCAGTAAGCAGTGGGAGTGTTGGTAATGCTGCTAGATAATATTGACCTCCCATGGTTCGGCAAATTCTCTGGTTCTGGTGAGGTTGCGGCAGTGTTGGACTAGAGAGGTACAACCTGTATTTAGTATTTTAGTGATATAGGAACTCCTTCCCTTAATGTGCACACAGTTATACATGCATGTCATGAGTAAAATAGACCCCATAAAGTATCAGAGGCAATAAAAGTGTTTGAAGTCGTATTACAACATGTCCATCCCATCTAAGACAAGGGAGACTGGGGCAGTACTTGCCAAATCACAGCCTATGTACCTCCACGGCAAGCAAAGACAAAACAGTTTTCCCATCCACAATTAGGGATGTAAGTAACTAGTCAACTACTTGATAAGCTTAAAAAAAGTAACGGGGGAGGAGGGACCGGGAGCTGACTTAAAAGCTAGTTCCCCCCAGCACTGTCTCTGCGGTGGGGCAGGGGAGGCAGAGGCGTAGCGGGGGGACCGAGCGTAAGCTGAGAATCAGCTGTCTTGGCTTGCACCTGGTTCCATACGCTGAGCCTCTGCTTTTTAAATGTATTAAGAGCCACCAGGCACAGGACAGCTGGATCCACCAGAGATCAGTATCTTGCTACTTACAATGGCGTTTAAACATTTGTCCAGTGTGGAGAGGAATATTTCATTCTGTGAACCATAACAAAATTATGCCATGGACTAAACCCTAAAGTGCTTATCCCAGCCCTCAGGCAATTTATTGCATGAATTAATAACTGTAGTATAACAGGACTGTCAGATTGGAGGAAAAAAAAGTTCTGAGCCATGGAGACTAGGGAAACTGGATCAGAAATGTGAATTTAAATACAGTGCTGCTAATGGGTTTGTCACAAAACAGACAGATCCTAAGTGAGTAATGTATTTTTTAAAAAGCTCTTTAATTAAACTCTAGTGAATGTTATCTTCCCTAAATTTGTGAATGCATACATTTTCTTTGGTTTTGATATAATGAGAAAATTAAATGAAAACTTGTCTGAAATGAGAGCCCGAGTATCTGAAGCCCGTCTTTTCAATTGATTTAGGCACACAATTGCACATGCCAATTAGATATCTGTTTATGCCCATCCATCTAATTCATAATTAGTGTGTGAGATCTGATTTTGCTGAATAAGTGAAACAACTGGTATATTTTACAAACATGACATAATGCCTTGACTATATGGAAACCTGGTCCTTGATTCTGAAAAAAATTGCCACAGATCTTCTAAAGATTCTACTTCTTTTCTTAAATGGGAATAAGAAAATGTTATTTCCATCAGAGTTCTCATCACTTACTCTCCATGGCAAACATCTCCCTTATGATACAAGAAAATAGCATGAAAATCAAGGGAGTAGAATGATCTTTAATTAGGCTTTCTTTTTTCCTATTTAGCTGGAGGAAATTATAGACAAAATGCTGGAAGCTGAAGCTGAAGACAATGGTAGAATCTCTGTCAGGGCAGAGAAAAGGATTAGAAAGAAAATATATAATCTGTTTGAGAGAAGTGAGGTAGGGAAAAGAATAGCGTTGTATTATAGAATAGTAGATAAATTTAATAGGAAAATCAGAAGGAAGAGGTGAATGAGGCATGTTGAGAACAAATTTTAGAAATATTCGAAACACAGACCTGATGGTAATGGGAGACTTTAATTACCCTTGCATCCATTGGAAAATTAATACATCAAAAATCAAAATTTCCAAAATGCTCTTGGAATGAATTATGGACAACTATTTGTTTCAGAAGGTGAAAGAAGCAGCAGGTGGATTGTTATGAATAGGGAAGAAATGGCTATGAAATTAAAAGTTGAAAGCAGTTTGGGTGAAAGTGATAAGTTACAGAGTTCATGTTTCTAAGGAAAGTAATGTGCAAGAGCAGCAGAATAAGGACTGGAGTTCAAAAAAGCAGGTTTTAACAAACTCACAGGGATATGGTCCCATGGAAAAAATATGTAAGGGAAAAAGGAATTCAGGTGAGCTAGCACTTTCTCAAGGAGACACTTTTTGATCATGCAAAAACAAACTATCCAAATGTGAAGGAATAAGAAGAAGAATAGGAAGAGGCCACCATGGTTCCATTAGGAACCCTTTAATGTCTTGAAAATCTAAAAGTGGAAAAAATAGACACATTTGCTAAAGAAGACTGAATAGAACATGCGTGTTGGTGCAAAACCAAAAAGGTGTAAGGCACAAATTAGTTAAACTTAATAATAAGGGACATAAAAGGCAATAAGAAGAGGGTTTTTTAAAAAATACATTAGGAACAAGACAATGATGAAGGAAATTGTAGGTGCCTCTGTAGCAGAGAAGGAGAACACTTAACATCAACAAAGCTGAAGTGTTCATGCCTATTTTACTTCAGTTTTCACTAAAAGGTAAACTGATTGGATATGTAATACAGTTAATATTAATAACAAGGGGGAAGGAATGCAAGACAAAATAGGGAAAGCAGGTTAAAGAACCCTGTAAAATCCCCTTTATCTAAATCTCCATTATCTGGTTCTCAGGCAGCAGGGGCTGAAGCTCTTTGCCCATTCTTTGGACTATCTGAATTTCTGATGATCTCATCTGGCCCCTCTTAATTAGAATGAATAAACAGGTTCCACTTTATTTAGGTAAGTCAGATGTATTCAGTTTAGCAGGGTTTGATAAAAGTTGCCTTAGAGTAGAATTAGTGGAAGCAATCTTGGAACCATTATGGTCTGTCTTAGAGACCTGATGGAGGATGAGTGAGGTTCCAGTGGACTGGAGAAGGGCAAACATAATATCTGTCTTTAAAAAGAGGAACAAAGAAGGACCAGGGAATTATAGACCAGTCAGCCTAACTTATATATCTAGAAAGCTACTGGATAAATTACAATCAGTTTGTAAACACCTGGCGGATAATGGGGATATAAGGAATAACCCCAGGGATTTGTCAAGAACAAATAATTCCAAACCAATCTAATTTCCTTTTTTTGAGAGAATTACTGGCCTACTGGATCAGGAGGAAGCAGTAGACAAAATATATCTTGATTTCATATGCAAATTAGAGAGAGATGGTCTAGATGAAGTTGCTATAGAATGGGTGCATAATTGGTTGAAAGATTTTATTCAGAGAGTAGTTATCAATAGTTTGCTGTCAGACTGGGAGGATGTATCTAGTGGAGTTCCACAAGGGTCAGTCTGGTCTGGTACAATTCAGTGTGTTCATTAATGACTTGGATAATGAAATGGCAAGTATGCTTATAAAATTTGCAGATGATGCAAAGCTGGGAGAGGACAGGATTAGAATTCAAAATAACCTTGCCAAATTGGAGTTGGTTTGAATTCAACAAGATGAAATTTAGTAAGATAATTGCAAAGTACTACACTCCAGAAGGAAAAAATCAAATGCATGAGTACAAAATGGGGAATAATTGCCTAGGCAGAAGAATTGCAGAGAAGGATCTGGGGGTGTAATGGATTTAAATTGAATGAGTCAACAATGTGAAACAGTTGTTAAAAAAGGCCATTGACGCTCTGCTTGACGTTAGTGAATCCTTAGCTCAGAGAAATGTGTGCACCTCACTTCAAGAAGGATGCAGACAAAGTCCAGAGAAGAGTAAGCAAAATGATAAAAGGTTTAGAAAACCTGATCCATGAGAGAAGGTTAAAAAAAAACCAGGCATTTTTAGTTTTGAGATAAGACTGGGGGAGGGAGGGGACCTGATAAGTCTTATATGTTAAGGGCTATTATAAAAAGGACAATGATCAACTGTTTTCCATGTCCACTGAAGGTACTACAAGAAGTCCTCTGCTTACTTTGTAGCACGGGAAAATTCAGTGAGATATTTGGGAAATCTTTCTAACTATTAGGATAGTAAAGCACTGGAATTGGTTACCAAGGGAGATTGTAGAATTATCCTCATTTTAGATTTTTTAAAAATGGGGTAGACTAACACTTGTCAGGAATGATTGTCACACTCCGGAGGATATAATCTGAATTGCTGAACAGATGTGCCCCTCCAATCTCCAACATGGCATGCTTTTTAGACTGCTTCACTCCTGGTCCTGCTCTCATGCACAGCATCTAACATTTAAAATTTGTCTGAGCTGAATTACATGAAGGTTCTGGTCAGTCACTCATGAGTTACGTATAGGGTGACACCAGAAACTTTCTAGTTCCAGACCTTCCCCCAGAAATGTGTTTCTTGTACTATTGGACTACGCAAGCTCATATCTGTTATTTCATTAATGGAAAAAGTAAGGTTTGTGACATCAGTCTGAAATGGAGATTCCTAACATTTAAATCCAAACACATGCTGGTTTAGATAAAACACTAAAACAAGCTTATTAACAGAAAAATAGATTTAAAGTGATTACAATTAATGAGGCATAAACATTAGAATTTGTTACAAATAAAATTCAGTCTGATATCCAATTTAGCAAGCTAAATGGATTCAAAGTGAAGTTTTTTCTCACCCTATGCTCTTGGCAACATTTTCTGACTTGGACCTCTCTTCACAGTGTAATATTTCTTCAGGGGTTGTTGCTGCTGTGAGCAGAGAGGAATGGAGTTGAGAGAAGTGATCTGGGAACCTCTATTTCTCCTTTTTATATCCTTCTCCCCTTTTTGAGAATTACTGTTAGCTGGAGTTCTAGCCACAGTCTGTTTACACAGAAACCCTTCAGTTGTTCCATAGCCATTATGAAAAGTTCTCGCCCTCACCCTTCTCCCTGCCAAAGAATGACCTCTTAACCAGGTGATAGCCCATGATAGTCCATTTGATTATGCTGGTACCTGACCAGGGCATCAGTCAGTGGTGCTGGACCAGTTTTTAAGGTGGGGATACTGAATTGTGCCCCCTTCCATGGTTGCCAACTCTCCTGAACTGGATTGACCAGACACCATTTGTGGCAATGGTGAGTTGATACCAGCTGGGAAAGTTTGTAACCCTAGCCTCTTGCCACCCAGAGAAGCCACAGCTGCTGAATCCCAGGTTGAAACTGGCAGTGAGATGGCCTAGACCCTGGACTGGCAGAGCTAGTGGGCTGCCGATCCTGTGGGGGCAGAGCCAAGAGTAATGGGACCCTGAGGGACTGCATAGACTGTGAAGCTGGTGGGCAGTGATGAAGCCAGTGGGGTTGGTGGGACCCCAGAGGCTCTGCGGGGGCCGCTGAGAAGCCAGGCCCTGGTGTTGGAGAAGCCAGCAATGGATCAGTAGGGGAGCTAGATTCAGGGAAGTTGAGTGCAAAACCTGTAGCACCCCTGCACTCCTATTTCCTGCGCCTGTGATGTCAGTGTGTTTCCTCTCTCTGGAAAAGCGGTTTGGACTTGCTTTTCTAACTTTGAAACTTGCCACACCAATGTTATACCGTAAACTCTTATAACTTTACATTGACATTGTTGCCACATGTATTTTACAAGTACAATAATGTTCAACAGATTAACTTTGAGTGATACCTCATAAGGAATACTTTATACTAAATTTGTAAAAAGGGTGAATATGGGATGAGTCTAGCATAATGATCTAGGCTGGGGATGAACAATAAGAAGGTGATGGTTCACCAGAATTAGTCCCTGGTGGGCCACCACTACTATATTTGCGTGGTTGCAGCTCCTGTTGGCCGCAGATCGCCATTCCTGGCCGATGGTAGCTGTGGGAAATGGTGAGGACCAGGACGCTGCCTCCCGCGACTCCCTTTGGCTTGTAACAGTGATCCAGGGCCAACGGCAACTGCAATCGCCCATATCTGTGGAAGCGCAGATAAATATAGCAGTGGTGACCTGCCAAGGGCTAACCCTGGCAAACTGAATCTGGCCTGTGGACTGATATTTGCCTGCTGCTGATCTGGGTGACTTGGTCCTGCACAAATGTCTGGACTAAGTGACCTCTCAAAGTCTATGATTTAATAAAACTGTAACAGCTGAGGATGTGTTGGGGAATAAAATTCATTTGCTTTAGGTTGCGTTCTTTTCTGGGGGTCGTTTACTAAGCAGGAGTGAAATAGAAAGTACAAGCATTCCACTCAGTCAAAATGTACCATTATGTTGATGCTTTATTTAGTTCAAGTAAAGTGGAACCACTTTAAACTTTTTACAATAGCAGTTGTTATGGTTATATTATTTGCTATGAATTTTAGTCTTTGTACCTGTAGGAAGTGTTAATGTTTGTGCGGTCTTGAAAACTTACTATTTCTTTGATGGTGGGTGGGAGGTACCTTTTTATATCATTCTTTACGTAAGATTTTAAATTCAGCTGGTTAAAATATACTTGTCTGCATTTTTTGTATGTTTGTATCTCTACTTATAAATTGCAAAGATTGCTACGCCTTTCCTTTGTTAGCTTTTAAAGCCCCAGGCTAGCTAGATGAGCAACAAAGGAGGACCCCTGATTTGAATGGAGAGGGTAGGGTGATCAATAAGTTATCAAAGGTGTTTGTACACCATGTGAGAAGCCTGGGTAACGAACAGGAAGAATTGGAGGCCCTGGCCCAGTCCAAGAACTACGATTTGATTGGGATAACAGAGACTTGGTGGGATGACTCGCATGACTAGAGCACTGTCATGGAAGGGTATAAACTGTTCAGAAAGAACAGGCAGGGAAGAAAAGGAGGAGGAATTGCACTGTATGTAGAAGAGCACTATGATTTCTCAGAACTCCAGTATATAGAGGGAGAAAAGCCTGTTGAGAGTCTATGGGTCAAGTTTAGAGGTGTAAGCAACAGCAGCGATGTTGTGGTTGGTGTCTGCTACAGGCTGCCGAATCAGGTGGATGAGGTAGATGAGGCTTTCTTTGGACAACTGAGAGAAGTTTCCAGATTGCAGGCCGTGGTGTTCATGGAGGACTTGAATCACCCTGACATCTGTTGGGAGACCAATACGCCAGTACACAGACAATCCAGGAAGTGTTTGGAGAATGTTGGGATAACTTTTTGGTACAAGTGCTGAAGGATCCGACCAGGGGCCATGCACAGCTTGACCTGCTGCTCACGAACAGGGAGGAACTAGTAGAGGAAGTAGAGGTGGGTGACAACTGGGAAGCAGTGATCATGAGATGGTAGATTTCAGGATCCTGACCAAAGGAAGAAAACAGAATAGTAAAATACACACCTTGGACTTCAGAAAAGCAGACTTTGACTACCTCAGAGACCTGATGGGCAAAATCTCCTGGGATGCTAACATGAAGAGGAAAGGAGCCCAGGAGAGCTGGCAGTATTTTAAATAAGCCTTATTGAAGGCACAGAAAGAAACCATTCCAGTGTGTAGCAAGAGAAGCAAATATGGTAGGAGACCGGATTAGCTTACCGGGAAAATCGTTGGTGAACTTAAGCACAAAAAGGGAGTTTACAAAAAGTGGAAACTTGGACAGATGACTAGGGAGGGGTATAAATGTATAGCTCGAGAATGCAGGGGAGTTATCAGGATGGCAAAAGCACAATTAGAATTGCGATTCGCAAGGGATGTGAAAGATAACGAGAGGTTTCTACAGGCATGTTAGCAAGAAGAACGTGATCAGAGAGTGTGTGGGATGCTACTGGATGAGGGCAGTAACCTAGAGACAAGATGATGTGGGGAAAGCTGAAGTACTTAATGCTTTCTTTGCCTCTGTCTTCTAAGGGAATGTGGATTGGATAAATGGACGGTAAGATGGATAGAAAACTGGCTGGAAGGCCGGGCCCAGCGGGGAGTGATCAACAGCTCGATGTCAGGATGGTGGTCGATTTCTAGCGGAGTGCCCTAGGGTTCGGTTCTGGGACTGGTTTTGTTCAACATCTTTATTAATGACCTGGATGAGGGGATGGATTGCACCCTCAGCAAGTTTGCAGATGATGCTAAGCTAGGGGGAGAGGTAGATACGCTTGAGGGCAGGGAGAGAGTCCAGAGTGACTTAGACAAATTGGAGGATTGGGCCACAAGAAATCTGATGAGGTTCAGCAAGGACAAGTGTAGAGTCCTGCACTTGGGACAGAAGAATCCTAAGCATTGTTACAGGCTGGGGACTGAATGGCTAAGTAGCAGTTCAGCAGAAAAGGATCTGGGGTTTACAGTGGATGAGAAGTTGGATATGAGTCAACAATGTGCCCTTGTAGCCAAGAAGGCTAATGGCATATTAGGTTGCATTAAGAGGAGAATTGCCAGTAGATCCAGAGATGTCATTATTCCCCTTTATTCGGCTCTGGTGAGGCCACATCTCGAGTATTGGGTCCAGTTCTGCGCCCCCCCCCCCCCCCGCTACAAAAAGGATGTGGACGCATTGGAGAGGGTCCAACAGAGGGCAACCAAAATGATTAGGGGGCTGGAGCATATGACCTACGAGGAGAGGCTAAGGGATTTGGGCTTATTTAGTCTGCAGAAGTGAAGAGGGAGGGGGGATTTGATAGCAGCTTTCCACTTCCTGAAGGGAGGTTCTAAAGAGGCTGGGGAAAGGCTGTTCACAGTAGTGACAGATGGGAGAACAAGGAACAATGGTCTCAAGTTGTGATGGGAGAGGTCCAGGTTGGATATTAGGAAAAACTATTTCACTAGGGGGGTGGTGAAGCACTGGAATGGGTTACCTAGGGAAGTAGTGGAGTCGCCATTCATAGAGGTGTTTAAGTCTCGGCTTGACAGAGCCCTGGATGGGTTGGTTTAATTGGGATTGGTCCTGCCTTGGGCAGGGGGCTGGACTTGATGGCCTTCTGAGGTCTCTTCCAGTTCTATGGTTCTTTGATTCTATGTTGACCTGAATGCATGCCTCGCTTTTGCAGGTACTGATTCTGAACTATTCAGAAAAGGTGTGCATGTGATTAGTTATGTATTATTCTCACTGAAGATCCTATTCTTTTTTGCTGTATTGAAGAGTAGTTTTTTTTAAGGACACAAAAACATACATACGCTTTGGTTATTGTTGATGTAATCTTACTTGTTCTGTTTTGTGGATTGCCCATGAAACAGGCCTCTAATCTCACTAATACAGAGCACTATCAAGGCATAATAACTTTGCTAAAATAATGCAGTTATTTTATACTAATGTTACACATTCTAGATATTGCCTTCTTGCAAGTTGCCATACTTGCTGTTCCAAAAATCCCATTTCCCTCTAATTAAAATAATTTAACAGTTTACAGTGTGGTATGAATCCTCTGGATATATATGATTTTTTTTATGTTTACTTTGACAGAACCAAGGTGGAAAGATGGCAGTGTTGGGATCTTGCCACATGTTCAGTGACCGATATTTGGATAAAGAAGAGAACAGCAAGATCATGGTAGGTTTTTGAAATATATTTTAAATTTATCATTCATTTTTTCATAGCAGTCATAAGCACATCCAACCTTTCCAGTTTATTCTCTGAGCTACACCACCATTAAAGAGTTGGGAGATGAAGAATCAAGCTTGACGTTGAAATAGTGAGAGAGATTTTCAAAGGCACGGATAATGGTTGGGTACCTCAGTGTATATATTGCACAGCAGAACACTGGAAAGCTTTTGCTGTTTCTGCTCTCTTGACCATGATTATTTTTGGGTGTGTGTAAACTATGCAGTAGGGGTTTTTTTTGGTAATTACATAGTTGAAATGTGTCACAGCTTGAAATTTGGCAACACGGTTAATAATAATACTTTGCATTTATTGCTCTTTTTGTTTAAACATCACTAACTGCTTCACAAGTTGATCCCTGTCTCTTTAAAAAAACAAAAAGGAACCAACGTGTTATGTGATGTGGTCATTCACAGAGCTATTAAATAACATAACATATATGGCTTAAGTGAAGATTCGGGTGTAGATCTTAAAAGACAATTTTGATATTCAAAACATTTCCTTGTTCTAGCCACGGGATAACACTGTTCTACTTGATCCAGAGTATTAGGCAGTTTGTATCTACATATTCTTTCAGTTTCTGAATAGCTATGCCTACATTGCAGAGCTATTTTGGGATAGTGGAAGTATCCCAAAATTGCTATTCTGTGTCTTTAATAATAATAATAGATTTTGAAATATTGAGGACTAAGGGACGTTTCAGAATAGCACTTTATTTCGAAATTACCTCAAAACAAGCTATGCAATTTGTGTAGCACAAATTGGGTAGCTTATGTCGAGGTAAGGGTGCAGTGTAGATGCACCCTGTTTCATTGTAACATGTCTGTTGTAGACTCATTTGTAACTGCATCTTTAGTTTTGTGCACTTCTATGTATTGTCCTTTTAAAACAAATGTAATGAAAGGAGCATTCTGACTGACTGTCTGATGAAGAACTCTCATGATTTGCATTGCTATTCAAATACATGTTAAAAGACATAACTCAGAGAGGTCAATTTAGCCTTAAATGCAAGTCAGTGGAAGTCAGGGGAGTTTCACTTGCCATTTTGTTCCCTTGCCCAAGTACAGTAGCTTGCAATCTCTACTATTCAAATATTCCCTAGAAAAGGTACAATTCATCCATCATTTGTCCCTTATTGCATTTTTCTAAACCACTTATGCACTTCAGATGGCTCACATTTTTCAGGTGGATGAACTGAATTGGTTTTCATCCTCTTGCCTTGCAATTCAGCTGTATCTAGTATAAAATGCACTATTTGCCGTATTTTGCTTTGGTAAATACTACAAATACTCTTAATATTACTGGTTTTCTCCCCCTGATATTCTTTGTTTTATCCAGCTCTTTCACGTCTACACCTTCTCTTTCATCGGGTGGGTTTGACGATGAATTTTGAAATGTTTTAATATTACAGTAAGTTACTCGGACACTCCAAAAACTTAGTACACCTCTGTGGTTCGACAGGATGTGCTTTTCCAATGGCTGACAACAACGGACATCCATTTAAATCAGATTGATGCGGAGGACCCTGAGGTAAGAGACATTCATTGTGTGATAGCTAATCTTTTAATCCACGAAGACCAGAATGACAGAAATAGCTGGCCTACCACTCCATAGTTAAAAGCTATATCTATGTTCTTATTACAGAGCGCTTAGAAAAAGGTAATCAGTGGGTGGCCCTTAGGCCAAATCTGGACCACCCGGGCTTTTTGAATGGACCCCCGTACATCCTTTTATTTATTTATTTATCTTTATCTTTATCTTTCATTTTCTCCGGAGTCTGGACCATGACTGTACTTTAGCCAAGTAATATGGACCTTGACAAAAAATAGACTGTTCCAGTGTTAAGAGGTTTGTTTAATTTTCAGGTTTAAAAATTCTTTTCAGACTGAAACTTGGCAAGTCAGATTTCTGCCTAGCAGGGCACTTTTAAAAAAGTATGTAATAAATGAAAATCAAATGAGTAATAAAATGTCAATTGTCACTGAACGGAAATAAGACAATAAAATATAAATACAGTCTCCCTTAAGCCCCCGTATTCTGGGGTCTCACAGATCAAGATTCAATCCTCATTATCTTCATTCTTTGAGACATCAGCATGGATGTTTACCTATATATTTGAGATTAGATCCTGAACTCAAATGTACAGCATTTAGAGAGATCTGTAAGAACAAACTATGTTCAAATGTAACTTCTAATGTGCCTTTTGTTCTTCATGTTGCATCTAAATGTTGTAGTGAATGAACTTAATGGTCTCAATAACTGAAACTGTTATGGGGGAATTTTGGAGATATCTCTGCCACACATGGATTAGGTTTTTCTGTAGTATTTGGATAGTGACTCATCTTAAAATGTCAGTCATGGAGCTTTTTGCATCCAATTTGCTGCTGGTTACTGTACTTTTTTGCCAGATTTTCTTACTTTAAACTTTATTGAGATCACTACTGTAAGCTGATACTTTTGCATTTCATCTAAGCCTTCTTACTTCAGGAACAAGCATATAGCAAATAAAACATTTCTATAGCTGATTGGGGACCAGCCAACTTGTCAGTTGGAGAGGGGGCAACTTTTAAAAAATGTTGCATGTGAATGTATTTCCTTTTACTTGAAAATACTGTACACAAGTGCACACACAAAGGGAGTTACTCTATAAAAACCACACAAGTTAATTTGAACTTCATTTTGACCAGCTTGCAATCCTTTAATCAGCAGCAGAATTGGCACACTTGACACCTGCTAGTTCCTGAAGCACAAGTATGGAACAGCAGTCTTTGGTCACTGACTTCAGAGCACCATGGAGGGAGTGACCTTCAGCCTCCTTAACAAGTAAAGACCAGGAAATTAAAATGTAGCATTCCTTCTGCAATGAAGCAGCATCACATGGACTGGACAAGTGAGATCAAATTTCATGTGTATTGGACACAGAAGGATTCACATCTGCCTTGATGCATGTTACCCCATTACTGAAAATAAAATGTACATGGTGGTTTGAAAATATTTGTTGCTAATAACCTAGTTCTGGTGATTTCAACAGCTGTTTTTTAATGTCTCTATTTCTGTTTTATATATTTGTATAATTGTGTTCACTTTCTTCTCACATACAACTAAATAGTTTCCTGTAACATTTCTAAACTAAGCCTGCATTGTGAAGCAAGCGGGTGTGGGCGAGGAGAGAAGAGTGTAAAATAAAGTTAAATTAAATTAGTCTTTCTAGGTGAGATTTTAAGTGAAGTACAAGTAGGAGGAGGCTGTTTCATATAGTTGAAATACCCTTATTCACAGCAGTCATGGTGTTCAGATTTCAGATTATATGATGCTCCCGGATATAGCCATGCTGTCTGAGCGACTACGAGTGTGTCTACAGGAAGGAGACGAGAACCCAAGAGATTTTACAACACTTTTTGATATGTCCATTTATCAGCTGGATACAACCTCCCTCCCTAAAGTTATCAAGTTAGTGCCTGTGAAATGTTTGTGTGTTTGATCTTATTCTGCATTTGTTTTTCATGTGTTTGTAAGCATATATATATATATAAAAACACAATGGAAATACTTACAATTCTACATTAAGTAGGTGAAAGGGGCATTAAATAAATGCACTGAACTTTCACCCTGGGACACTTGGATTTAAACATGCCATATGTCACAAATAGAAAGCTGAGCAATCTGTCTGCACTATAGAGTATACATTTCCATTTTATTAGAAGCAATTGCTTTGTAGTTGCAGAGATCAAAGTTACTGTGTAATTGTGGTAAAAACTCTATTACATGTTTTCATAAATAAGATGTTAACCTTCATGTCCTGGACAAATTCAAACTCATTGTCTGTATGTAACACATGCAAGTGTAAACAGACAATGTAGTATTATCTTCTCCCCTCAGACTTTGCCTTTTTCTTTATTGTAGATCTTATGAACAGCTAAATGTGAAACATGAACCTCTCCAGCTCATTCAGCCTCAGTTTGAGACTCCACTACCTGCACTCCAGCCAGCTGTGAGTAATCTTACCTGAGCAAGCTCCTGATGACACACTAGATGAATAGACACCACCTTGTAATATTAACCTTTCTTTATTTTAAATAATTATGGAAAAGACAGAGAAACAGTAGAGCACTAACCATTTGAGTTTCTTAGTACATCACTCTGTGATGTAGCACTCTATAGTCCTATAAATGTGAAAACAATGAAGCTGGTTAAATGCACATGTGGTGAGCAAACTGAGACAGTTGCCAGTAGAACTTGCTACTTTCTGAAGATATTAAAATGCTCCATACATAGAGTCATAGTGTTGGAAGTGACCTCGGAGGTCATATAGTATAATTCTCCTGCTAAAAGCAGGATCAATCTTAATTAAATCATTCCAGCCATGGATTTGTCAAGCTCTAGGGATGGAGATTCTACCACCTCCCTAGAGAACCCATTCCAGTGCTTCACCACCCTCCTAGGGAAATAGCTTTTCCTAATATCCTACCTAGATCTCCCCCACTGCAACTTGAGACCATTGCTTCTCGTTCTGTCATCTGCCATCACTGGAAACAGCCTCTCTCCATCCTCTTTGGAATCCCCCTTAAGATAGTTGAAGCCTCATATGTAGTCTTATCTCTTAAGCCCAAATCTCTCAACCTCTCCTCATAAGTCATTTGCTCCAGCCTTCTAATAATTTATGTTGCCCTCTGCTAGATTCTCTCCAATGTGTCCACATCTTTTCTGTAATCGATATTAGTATTTCCACAGGTCTCCCCCGTTGCTTTATACTGCTCTGAGCCAGTAGTGCCCAATGTTTTTAGCGTGAAGGCCAAATGTTATTTCAGAAAGGTCCTGGACCCACAGTCAGTATTTTCAGGCAGGCAGTCAGGCTCCCATCCTGCTCTCATTAGGGTTCCGCTACACGCTTTCGTCTCGCCTTGTTGAGCTCACATCAGAGCTGTCCCTACAGCTGAGAAGGTTGTAGGAGGTATCTTGGAAGAACAGCCTCTACCATCTGAGTTTGTAATGAAAAGTGTATTTCTTTTTTTACAGTGGTCTTTGAGAGACTTAAGGCTGCAGTTTGGACACCACTCCTTAAGCTATTTTGAGTTTGGACACCACTCCTTATAATCTCTTTCCAGTCAATCTTCACAAGGCCTCATAAAAGCAGTCAGTATTAATACAGTGGCTCTAAATGTGATGCCAAATGGCATAAAAATCAAGCAATTAAAAGTTAAATCCCATCTCAACCCCAACTAGTGTTACATATTGCACATTAGCAACTTGGAGTCCTGTGGGCCCGGAAAGACTAACAAATTTATTTGGGTGTAAGTTTTTTGGGGTTTTTTTTTGTGAGCTGGAATCCATTCCAAGAGGAACTCCTTGTTGTTTTTGTTGAAATAGACTAACATGGCTACCCCTTGGAAACTTATCCACATATATGCATTGATACAAAATATTGCATATGGTAATAAATATTTGTGCCTTAATGTGTGAGCAGTGTGGCTGAATGAAGGGTTTTAACCACAACTAAAGTGACTTGCTTGACAGTTGGTAATTAAAACTCTTGCCCAATCAGTCCATATTCTTGTGTCCTATGCTGCCCTCTATTTCTGTAAGTACAAGAGTGTGGAACAGCAGTCTTTGGTCACTGACTTCAGAGCACTGGCTGTGCAGCATCTTCAGCCATTGGGTTCACTCTGACAGATATGAGAGAGTCTGAGGTTCAGTATTTGACCATGCACCCCAAATCTCCACAAGATTGACAGAGATTCTTAGTAAACTCTTTACGGGGAACAGTGTCCAGAAGAGCAGCCCTTGGGATCACAGATGCTGCAGAGGGGAGCGCTGCGTTGAAGACCTTGACATCATTCATTTCTTGACAAATTACAAGTTTTGGAGACTAAACCCCCTGCTACTTTGACTGTTGGGAAGTGTTCTGGGGTGTATTCCCTCAGACCTCCAGGGGCCTCATCATTGAGAGTGCTCCCCTTACTGGCCTCGAACCCCGTTCACACACAAACCCTTTTCTTGTGTCCTAACTAAGTCCTTCGCTCAGGATAAACATCCTTCAGTCCTCACTTGCGGCTCGCAACTCCCCAGGTCTCCAGAATGGCACTGTCAGCCTCAGAGGGGAGGGGGACCTGGGCCCTCTCTCACTCCGGGTCCCGACCCAGGACCCTAAGGACAGGGGCCACTACCCTGTCCTGTTGGTGGGGATATACCCTGGAACTCACCAACCTGCGGGCTTCTGGACGCCCCGTTCTGGGCCGCTTCCTCCCCTCCATCCTGCTCAGTCTCCTCTGCTCAGGTCCTGTGCGCCCCTTCGGCATCCGGCGCTGACCTTTTGAAGGGCCCGTGCCCCGTCTCTCCTCCCCCTTGTGTGCCCGTGCCGGCACAGACACTAGGAAACAGCACTCAATTGCCGGTGCCCCAACGCATGCACTCAGCGTGCACCTGAGCAAACCCTACACCACTGCCATGGGGCTGTCTTTTGGCAGCAGAGCGCTTCTGTGGCGTCTCGGAGTGTGGGAGTCGGCGAGCTCCAGCGGCGGAGAGCCCTACGGCCCGTCACAGGAAGGCACCTATCTTGTCCCAGCCTTGAGTGGAAGAATGGAAAAGAAACTGCAAAATCACTTTAACCAGTTCTTGGATCCTAAGTAGGAATGACCGGGTCAAAAAAGGATTTAGCTCTTATCCTTAGTTTTCATTGGTTTAAAGAGAAAACAGTAAAGAGAACTCGATGAAATGGGGTAAAAAGAAGAGGTGCTGGCATGCTCATGCCTAGGCAAAATGTAGAGTATCTAGTCATCGGATGTGATGTACCTTGATTTAGCAAATCTTTTGATACGGTCTCCCACAATATTCTTGCCAGCAAGTTAAGGGAATATGGATTGGATAAATGGACTGTAAGATGGACAGAAAGCTGGCTAGATTGGTGGGCCCAATGGATAGTGATCAATGGCTAGATGTCTGGTTAGTGGTTAGTTTCAAGCAGAGTGCCCCAAGGATTGGTTCTAGGGTCAGTTTTGTTGAACATATTTATTAATGACCTGGATGAGGGGATGGATTGCACCCTCAGCAAGTTTGCAGATCACACTAAACTAGGGGGAGAGGTAAATATGTTGGAGGGTAGGGATGGGGTCCAAAGTGACCTAGACAAATTGGAGGATTGGGCGAAAAGAAATCTGAAGAGGTTCAACAAGGACAAATGCAGAGTACTACACTTGGGACGGAAGAATCCCAAGCATTGTTACAAGCTGGGGACCGACTGGCTGCGTAGCAGTTCAGGATAAAAAAACCTGGGGATTCCAGTGGATGAAAAGCTGGATATGAATCAACAGTGTGCCCTTGTAGCCAAGAAGGCTAATAGCATATTAGGGTACAGCACATCTAGAGAAGTTATTTCACTTTATTCGGCACTGGGAAGCCACATCTGGAGTATTGTGTCCAGTTTTGGGCCTCTCACTATTGAAAAGATGTGGACACAATGGAGAGGGTCTAGCAGAGGGCAACCAAAATGATAAGGAGGCTGGAGCACATGACATACAAGAAGAGGCTGAGGGATTTGGGCTTATTTAGTCTGCAGAAGAGAAGAGTGAGGTGGGATTTGATTGGAACCTCCCTTCAGGAAGTTGAAGGCTGCTAAGAGGATGGAGAGCGGCTATTCTCAGCGGTGACACATGGCAGAACAAAGAGCAATGGTCTCGATTTACAGTGGGGGAGGTTTAGGTTGGATATTAGGAAAAACTATTTCATTGGGTGGGTGGAGAAGTACTGGTATGGGTTACCTAGGGAGATGGTGGAATCTCCATCCCTAGAGGTTTTTAAGTCCTAGCGTGACAAAGCCCTGGCTGGGATGATTTAGTTAGGTTTGGTCCTGCTTTGGGCAGGGGACTAGACTCAGTGACCTCTTGAGGTCTCTTCTGACCTAGGATTCTATGATTTTTATGAAATGCAAATGAAGTTTTGAAGTGTGTTCAATTTATTATGGAGTTTTGTCTTATAGTCTTTCAAAAGGCTTTACTGATATCCAATGTGAAAGCTGTCTTGTGTTCTGCAGCATGTAAAATAACCACTTGACAGTAAATTACGTTAAATCTTCTCTTGTAGGTGTTCCCGCCTGCTTTCAGAGAATTACCTCCTCCCAATCTGGACTTGTTCGACTTAGATGAAACGTTCTCCTCTGAGAGAGCTCGTCTTGCACAGATTACCAACAAATGTAAGCAAGGCAAGCTTCTGAAGTTGGATTATGTTGATATTTATACAGAAGTCCTATTCTTTTGAGGAACTCTTTAGCAAAATAACTTGAGACATTTTAGTTTCAGTAGGAACACAAAGTCTCGTTTACAGAAGTACAGTGCATTTACAGCCCTTTCTTGATTTCATCTATAGTTAGGGGTTTCAGTATCTCTGGAAACCAAGTCCACAGAAAATATTCTCTTTGTGTGCATGATGTAGTGCACTGTTGCAGAACAAAATGTTAATAGCAGAGTGATTCTTCTTTTTCTGTGTCCTCTACCATCTGCTCCCAGTCATTGTTCAGAAGGACTTCCAGACCTGTAGTAGCTAAGATATGATTCTTGGAACCATACATGTTAGAAGGACCCTAAATTCCCATTACTAATTCATGATGGAAAATACTTTAAAGTATACAGTGGCTGAAATGAGTAGGGCCAGTCAATCACTGAATCTGCTGTTGAGACTGCAGCTGATTTGATATTAATGAGTCTCTGATTTTACTTCTGTGTTCTGCTCCATGTCTTATGCACAAATAATTTCCACATCTTTCTTCATTTTAAGGTGTCACAGGTTCTCAAACTTTTACACACCTCTCAGTAACAGGAGTGCCAGAAAGCACCGTGTGCCTTAAAGAAACAGTCTATTATTTGAATAACTTTGTTTAAAAGGGCTAAATTCCCCAAGTGTTTAATTGCAAGTAGAAATCAGTGGTATAACTTCAACCACACAAACTGTGCATGAATGTGAGAGATTTGTCTCCCTCACTCTGTGGGTTCTTTTAGGTACCGAAGATGACCTGGAGTTTTATGTCAGAAAGTGTGGTGATATCTTAGGGGTGACAGACAAACTCCCAAAGGAGCAGCAAGATGCCAAGCATATCCTGGAGCACATCTTCTTCCAAGTGGTGGAGTTCAAGAAGCTGAATCAGGTATATTGTTTTAAGTTTTAATTACAGAACAGTTAATGAATGGAGAGTGTGATATTAGAAATGACCCTCTGTCATGGGGTACTCTTTGTGGCTGCATCAGGGTATTAGCTGCCTCAGGTCAAATGCCCCCTTCTGCTGCTTGTTGCATGCCCTGCTGTGTCTCTTGCTCCTTGCAACTCAGGGTGTGTCTAGACTACTGAGTTTTGTCAACAAAAGTGGACTTTTGTCGACAAAACTATACCTGCATCTACACTACCGCTGAGTTCTGTCGGCATAACGTCGACAGAACTCAGCCGTTTTGTCGACGCTGGTAAACCTCATTTTACGAGGCATAACTCCTTCTGTTGACAGAGTTCTGTCGACAGAAGGTGTTAGTGCCTGTAGGGTTGCGTCTATACTACAGGGTTTTGTCGACAAAGCAGCTTGCTTTGTCGCCAGAACTGAATGTGTCTAGACGCTCTATGTCGACAGTATCTGTCGACAAAACTTCCGTCGACAAAGCCCTGTAGTCTAGACGTACCCTTAGAGTATGCCTGCTGCTTAGCAACAATAGAAGAGCATCTCTCCGGGGGGGCTCTTTGCTGCCATGCCCTCCCTCATGCCAGGGACCTGCTCAGACTGCTTGTCCTGCGCTGTTAGGCTGTCATTGCGCATGCCACTCAAAATCATCTTGTGTGCCACGTACAGCACGCATGCCATAAGTTGCTGAGCCCTGGTATAGATACTTGAAGATTGATGCATGGAGGTCCTGTCATCAGCAAATTTTGTTGAACTCAAACTGCACAATTACATGGCTGAAGTCACCTGCACTGTTCATAAGTTTTACTACTGTGTCTGTAAGAATCACAAATAAATTATCAACTTGATACATAAATACATTAATGTACACATGTGTAAAACAAGCTTTCCTTTTCTAAAATGATTGGCTTAATACAAGAGCCTCATTTGGGGATCTGTGATTTTGATGGGGCAGTAAGCAGTCAGATGTATAAACACACAGTTCAGGTGATTTTAGTGAAATACCATCCATTGTGTTCTTTTTGCAAGTAATAAAGGAGTCTTGGGGTATTAGCACAGTCTGATATTACTATGATAATGCAGATATAATACTAAGGATGTTAGATCCAGATCCTCAAAGGTATTTAGGCTCCTAACTTTGGATTTCAGGTGGAATTAGGAGCCTAAATAATTTGACTCTGTGCCACCTCAGCATCTGAGAGAAAAGCATTCCTGATGGTCCTACAAAGTTCAGGGCTGCTGGCTTAATTGTGAATGTTTCTCTTCTGATTAGCTGTTTCATTAATAAGGCTTCTGGGTCTACATGAGTTTTAAAAAAAATTTAAGTGTATAACTTTTACTTGATAATATGTCTCTCCCACTCCTCCATAAAGGAACACGATATTGACACCAGTGAAGCTGGATTCCAGAATGGTTATTGAGCATTGGCTTACTCTGTCAGAGAGAGAGAGAGAGACAGACTGACCTTCCTAGCAAAAATTTACTGTATCTCCCTCGCTGTCAATTATTTTTCTACCTGTTTGTTCAGTATATTGAATTTTTCTTTGAACCTTTGGGTGTTGTAAATATGGATAAAGTCTTAAACTTTTTTTTTAAATAAATGACAAATAAGGGGTTGCCTTGTAAGTGGCAATAATTTTCAAAAGCATTTTATGTAACAAACATTCCATATTTAATCTTGATTCTGTATTTTATTGGAGCTATAATTCTGTAATCTGTGAAATATTTAAGAAAATATTTTATTCCAATTCCTACTTCTGTCTTCTGGTATTTATTTTCTTGTATCTAATGCTTATATGCAAAATTTGAGTATAAAATGTTTGTCTTTATAGATGCTTGTAGCTTTAATTGCACTGTAGAAGAGAAGCCACTCATCTGTGAAAGTTAGTTTGTTTTGAGAGCTGCAGAGCAGAATATGTAGCCATAAGTAGAATTGGAATTGAATCTCATGGAATCCATGTCTAATCTCTAACTCTGCAACTGCTTCCTCTTGATGGTCAATTAAAATGAAAATAAGAAATTTGCTCTGCAGACGCAAGCCTAAAATGAGCTTCCCAATAAGGAACAAATATGAAGATAAGATTCTTTGTGGATTAGGCTTTAAAAAAATGTACAGCACTATGTACATTTAGAATAGGAATGTAAAATTCGGTGTAATCCATTACATTTACATCCCTAACTTAAAGGGGCAACAATGTGGAAGGATACATAGAATTTAAAAGGAATATATTCCCATCATTGTCTGCTAGTGTATGTGTTTTTCAAAACCAAAAACTCCACCATACTTTTGGCTTGGCCTTATTCTATCCTTGTCTTATTTACCACCTATTTTACCATGGAGTTCCTGCATGTGGAGAACTGGAATTAAAGTGCAGTGATTGATCTTTAATTGTACAAGCTGAGTTTAGGGCAAACAAGAAAACTAAGAACATAAATGGTGAAAAGTCTTAGCATTCTTCCACTGTTAATAACAAGCTCTGTGTGTCAAGAGGAGCAAAGATATTTCTTAATAGTTTTAAACCTGTTATTGGCACTGCACAAGAACACAACTTCCTCTCGGGTATGCAATTGTGTCTTATGCATCTAAGGCCCAAACCCACATGCATAACCAGATCCTTTCCCCCGGCTGTCTACTGTGTAGTCCTTTATTTCTGACACTTCCTAGAAATCGTGGTCTGCCTATCGCTACCTTCAACATTGCTTCTTCTGAAAGGTCTTTCTTTCACTTTCGTTGTCTTTTCCAATAGTGCAGTAAAGATGAGTGAAAGTCCTATTCTTTCTGTTGCTGTCTTATGCCCTTCCCCAAATATTGGTGCTAACACTGCTTGTCAGGAAAGAGGATATAGGTTTTTTCCCTGCCTAAAATGCTAGCATGCTGTAGACACTATGCAAATATGCACTATATTCTGTTGGAGGAATGTCAAAGACTGCTTATCTATGAATTTGATCCCTAGCATCCTTTACTGTTTACACAAATGGAGAACTTTTAAATTCCATAAGGTCCCAGTTGCCCTAACAACTCTACTGCAGTGATGGAAGATAATCATTCTTCATCAGAGATCACATTTTTGAAAAAAGGCAACTGTGCTTTGTGTTTTTATAAATGTTACCTCTTTTACCCAAAACACTGATTGGTACAATCCAGCTGAAGATTTACACAACAATCTTAATCTTTCCAAGACTACATCGATATCCACCAAAGCCCAAGGGGCTCCAGCTGAACTACAGTTCTGCCCAGTTCTACCAATATTTAGGGTGTGATGGATAACTCCAGCATGTGCTGTTCTTCAGTGTTGATACTTCAGTCAGTAAATAAAACCTTTCTAAAGAAAGCTTTAGTAAGGTGTTTTGCCACCTGTCTTTTGTTGTTGCAACAACATGTTTTAGAAATAATAGTTACTATAGCACTCTGAGAATGCACAATAAGCAGTGAGACCAACCCCTGAGCTAAGGTTTATCCTTTAGGATTTCTGGTGTTCCTGTTGGCATTGCTCATGGGACGACTGTAGTGAGCTTTAAAATAAATGAAGGCATTTTCACTAACTTGTTGTAACCAGGCTGGTATGTAGATAGAGAAGTATATTATTATTCCTCCTTTAAAAGAAAAATTAGCATCTATGAAGAGAGAATGGCTCATGGCCACCTCCATCAGCCATCCCTCCACATATAGTGAAATCTCATGGTTGCATAGTTCTTCCTTCTCATTTCATTCACCTAATGGAAGTTGAAACCCATCATAGCTGTTTTGCTATGTGGATGTTGGTTTAAGAGCAGTAGCCTGTCAGAGGGCAGGGATTCATGTGCTGTAACTACTCCACTAGAGCCTGAATTTTCAGTAACAGTACAAGGTGCAGCTCCCTGTTTGTTGGCTACCAATCAAGGACTGCCTTCAGAACCCCCCAAAACATCACACCTATAACTCTCCACAAGCAGCAGTGGCTGTGTAGACAGGATTTAGGTATGTTGACTACCCTGTCCTCTAACACTCTTGAAGTACATAATGTCCTGTGTACTGTTGTCATATGCCTGTGAAAGAATAAGACAATGTCTAATTGCTGTAGTGCGACACAATAGTCTGATGCTCTGCTTCTATAGGAGCCCTGCAGAATAATCTTCACCCCAAATCAGAAAGAAAATAGAATTAATACTGTTCTCAGAAACACAGGTTTTTTTGCTCCCTGTTTGGGGTCTACTGCATCACCGTCTGTTACATTAGCCTGAAGGAATATATTCTCTTCATATGTTCCTGCTTCCCTCCTTAAGGTCCCAAGCAAGAGTTTGATTGTTCAGTTAGCAAGAGGTATGCTTTTGTTCAGTTATAGAATCATAGATCTGGAAGAGACCTCAGGAGATCATCAAGTCCAGCCCCCTGCCCAAAACAAGATCAATCCCAACTAAATCAACCCAGCCAGGGCTTTGTGAAGCCAGGACTTCAAAATCTCTAAAGATGGAGATTCCACCCACTCCCGTCCTAGGTAACCCATTCCAGTGTTTCATCACCCTCCTAGTGAAATAGTTTTTCCTAACATCCAACCTAGACCTTCCCCAATGTAGCCTGAGACCATTTCTCCTTGTTCTGCCATCCATAACCACTGAGAACAGCCTCTCCATCCTCTTTGGAACCCGCACTTCAGGAAGTTGAAGGCTGCTATCAAATCCCCCCTCACTCTTCTCTTCAGACTAAATAAGCCCAAATCCTTCCGCATCTCCTCATAGGTTATGTGCTCCAGCCCCCTAAACATTGTGGTTGCCCTCTGCTGGTCCCTCTCCAATGTGTCCACATCCTTTCTATAGTGGGGGCCCAGAACTGGACACAATACTCCAGTTGTTAGCCTTCTGACTAGTTTAACTTTTGGAGCATTGTCTCTTCAGAGTGGATATACCCAAGCCATGATTCTGACTGAAGTAAATTAATAACTTGGAAGTCTGAATTGGTAAGATCTATTGCAGATTAAAAGTAATCTTATACTTGGAGTTCTCCAGGGATTAGTGACAGAACAAAGATAGGATTCAAGATCACACCTGCCCAAGAACTCCATGTTTATGAATAAAAACTACCTTCTAAGAATACAAAAATAAAGCCATTCAGACAAGAATCTGTACCTCTCTGTGGAACCTCTTCCATGTGCTACTTTGCCAAACCTCCAGCCTTTCCTCCTACCTTTCCATCTTTCAAAGCCCAAATATAAGATATAGAAAATGATGAATTCAGCTGTTACAAAGGACACAATTATTCTTGCACCATGCTTAAAATGCTGTGGGATTCCTCCCTTCAGTGTTTGTGACTCACTATTCTCAGGTTCTTGAGTGGTCAGTTGTAAATAATTTTCATCAAAGAAAGTGTGAAGATACTAGACCACCATGGAATGGAAGGAAAACTTAAATAGGAAGAAAAAGATCCCTCAAAACAAAGGTGATGCAAGAAGTCCCTAAGAACTCTGCTTTGTTTCATGAGGTTCATGTGATGTGAAGAATAGTCACCTCAGCTCCATAGAATCATAGAACCACAGAGCTGGAAGAGACCTCAGCAGGTCATCAAGTCCAGCCCCCTGCCCAAAGCAGGACCAATCCCAATTAAATCAATCCTGCCAGGGCTCTGTCAAGCCAAGACTTAAACACCTCGGGTGCGTCTACACTGGCAAGATTTTGCGCAAAAGCACTTGCTTTTGCGCAAAAACTTGCCAGTTGTCTAAACTGGCTGCGTGAATTTGCGCAAGAGCACTGACTTTAACATACAAAATCAGTGCTTCTTGCGCAAATACTTTCACACTCCCACTTGGGAAAAAGCCCTCTTGCACAAGAATACTTGCGCAAGAGGACCAGTGTAAACAGGGAAGAACTGTTTTGCGCAAAAAAGCCCTGATGGCTAGACTGGCCACGGATGCTTTTGCGCAAAAGCACTTTTTGCGCAAAAACATCCGTGCCAATCTAGACGTGCTTTTGCAGAAATACTTCTAATGGAAAAACTTTTCCATTAAAAGTATTTCCACAAAATCATGCCAGTCTAGATGCAGTCTGCTAGGGATGGAGACTCTACTACTTCCCTTGGTAACCCATTCCAGTGCTTCACCACTCTCCTAGTGAAATAGCTTTTCCTAATATCCAATCTGGACCTCTTCCACCACAACTTGAGACCATTGCTCCTTGTTCTGCCATCTGTCACTACTGAGAACTGCCTCTCCCCATCCTCTTTGGAACTTCCCTTCAGGAAGCTGAAGGCTGCTATCAAATCCCCCCCCCCCCCCCCCCACTCCCGCTCCCGCG